CCCCCCGGTGTTTGCCATCGGGGTTGGGTTTTCGTCGCTTGGCAACGAAGGTGTAAAACAAGCCAATTCACTTTGTGAACTCGGCAACCACGTTTGTTTCTGTTTTTTCTACCTATATTTTTTTCTTTTGCGGTAACCATAATGGTGATCTAGTAGATTATGTTGTGCGGGGTCGAAAACCCTCACTCTGCGCAAGGGGGATGATCGCACCACTTTGTGTTGAAATGGTCAAGCATCCTCGAGGCGGCTACACAGTTCTTACAACTGTCTCTGGAAGTGAAAGCACCAGAAAATAAATAAAGTCATGCGCAGCTGTCATCCGTACGCAAGGAAGGAAGCACAAAATGCCGACCACCCTTGACGGGATGCAGCGCACCCTCCATGCGACTCGCCAAACGCCTCACGGCGCTTCGTGCTTGGTGATGTAAGAGCCTGGTTCGGTGAGAACCCGGCGTGCTCCGTCCCGGCTTTGTAGGGATGCGAGGTCAATGGTCTAGCGACTACAGCATGCACGACAGTGAGTACACCTCCCCCCACCAGACTCCCCGCGCAGAATGGGAAATATATCTAGAGGCCGATTAACATGTAACGCCCCGCGCATGTTGTGTCATGGCGTGAGACAGTGGGAAAAGGGAAATACGAAGCAAAAGAAACGGCCGGGAAAAGTGAGACCGCGGAATGACGAGAACAAAACGTGAACCTCTTGCATCAGGGCGTACTGCGTGCAGCTAGGGTTAGGGTTGGGCCTGCGCTGTGCTTGGCAGCACACCGCATTATGGGAGAAGGCAGCACAAAAGAAAAATACATGAAGGACCGCGAAAGGCAAAAGTAGGAGGAAACAACGGTCGAGGTCCAGAAGGCAGAGACTAAGGATCGCCCCGGTACATGGTGCTCTGGAAAAAACGAGGGCGAGGTCACAGGCAGACGTAACCAAACTCTGTTTCTCATAGAGAAAGAGCAGGAGGCACCAATGTTCGTGTGTTTGGATACGGACTGGTTAGATCTACCGGCAACAACAGAGGGCACGCAGATGGGGCATATGTACACCTTGAAATGGTTGCATGTGCGGGGACCCCTCAAACTCCAAAGAGGGCTTCACTTCTCCCTACTCCCCTTGCTTGTCTAATACAAGAGATAAAACGTCTTCCCCTTCCAAGTAAAGGACACATACGAACACACTAGTGTCAGGTCGCAAAGATGGGGGTGACTCCTCCAGCGACTCTGCGGCGGAAGACAGAAAGAGGTCAAGATAAGAGCTCATGACCCTGAGGACGCAACTTAGCTCGCTGACGGATCAGGTGAGCCAGCGAATGGCGCTAGTGGAAGATACCATGAAGGCAAGCAAGAAGGAGGAGCCAGCTGGCACCATGGAGGGTGCCGCTGATCGCGGCGATGCTAGGGAGAGCGCCGCC